TCTAGAAAAATAGAGTTGGAACAATCTCCACCATTACGAACGTTGCTTTTATACAGAAGTTTCGAAACATATATTTAGCCATCTTTATAATCTAGACAGATTTTGGCTTTACGGATAAATTATAATTTATTGATTGTCAGCAATACCGTTCTATTAGCTAAACCAATTTGTAAATTAAGGGTTTGACCCAACAAAAACAACCAATATGGAAATTGTAAGAAAGTGATATGATGCTCTACAAATAGATAAATTGAACTAATTTATAGATAAGTTATTTCCTATTTAAATATTATTAATTTTAATGGGTACCTCAATTTCAATTCGATCCACTTTCATCCTCGAGGAAGGGGTGGTCCCCTACTCCCCGTAGCCTGTAGCCACTATTCCGTAGAATTTCATTATTGCTGCCCATTATATATTCTAAACGTCAAAAACTATGAGCTTGCAGTTTATGTTAGTGTCCAGTTGTGTCAGTCCTTAATATTAAAACGAAATGTTGCAAATAATCTAAATGCTACGATATATGAAACTGGAGTAATCAGACGCACATTACACAGTTGACATTATTTAAGCGATTAAATGTGTTTTTGGTTTGCAATAAAACTAATTTTGTAAATGATAAAATGTGTCTTATCATGATATTATTTTAACTGTTAAACCCAATTAACACAACCGAGCAAGGCTTGGTCCCAAACGTTCCAATGAACTAAATTATTTCTTTTTTAAGTTCCACAAAATCAGCTTGATAAAATGGTTTGGAAAGAAATCGTAAAATTTTATGTTTATGGGTTGTAAATTAAATGAAACAGCTGGTCTATGCAATTAACTGGATGTTTGTGTCATGTTTATTTACATGAAATAGTTATTTGTGTAACTAGTGCATATAAATAATTAGTCTTTCAAACACTATACAACACGATTTTAGGTTCAGCTCGCAACACAAATAGGTGCCCTAGAGAAAGTAGTACCCGGTCCGTATCACTCTGCTATTTTTCCTCGGCAAGAAATGTGCTCCGCGACTTGAGAATATAGTTCCGTATGTTTTTGTAATTTGAAGTGGTTTCCGTGCCTGAAATAGTATATTACGTTACTAGTCCTGAAAATAAGTGTTTACCGGACGAGTGTGGTCGTTCCCGTGCGAGACGAAGTCGAGTACGGGATTACCATACGAGTCCGGTACACACATTTTGGACGAGTTACGTACGATAGTTTACGCCATACTACTTAATCCGTACAAATCCTTATATATTTCCACCAACTAAAGGACTAAAACTCACTAGTCATAACCTCTGAGAGAGGTTATGTTTTTGTTTATAACCACTAATTGCCACGCAAATACAGTATAATCAGCTGATTGGTGTCCGGTAAAACTCATTGCAGAACAGTATTACGCAATGAAACCCCATTTGAATAAGCTGGCGGCAAACAGCTGTTTTCTGGACTAAATCCTTGCGTGGGACGTTCATCAAAATAATGTAGTGTGGCGTAAACATACTTTAAAGGTATTTTCTTGTTTATTAAGATCGTAGGAATGTTTTAAAAACGTTTAAAAGAAAAGTCCAGAAAGTTCAGAAATACCGAAATGATAAACACGAAATGACAGGTTAAATTGTAGTTATAATAGTCAATCAGCTGCTCATAGTATTATTATCTTTAAGTGTTGCCAACCTATTTCCAAGCGTACACGGATTACGTGCATAATAGAACCACGCTGTTTTGTGTTGTTTCGTTGGAATCCTGATGTGCGCCAAAGTATAAACCGTACGACAAAGTATAAATATGCAGCAATTAGCAGCTTTCTGTACTATTAACAGTACAAGGAAGCCAACTTTGTCGGGTGACTGTAGGAAAAAGATGTTTTTGTCATAAAGCAGCGTAAAACAGCTGTTTTTAACATTTCCATTGTGGGTATACACATAGATAAAAGGAGTCTACTTCTTTTAATCTATGGTATATAGTAGCTCTAGGGATTAAAAGCCTTTTTGTAGCCCCTAGGGATTAAAGTTTAGCTGTTGTAAACTTCAATTGTTAGTAATCTCATGAATCGAAATGATAGAGGCATACCGGTATCGATTGATTTAATCGGTTGCTGCTCTTGTTGAACTCTTGTCTTCACGTGATGAAATATACTATTGTGATTCTTTATTTACATTAAGGAAATTTGTGTGGTTTTCAGAAAGAGAGGTAGGCCTATGTTTGGGTAAAGAAAGGTAGTAATGGTTTTGTAGAAATTGCTCACAGTTTTCTTTGTAATATACATAGTAAGCTACAGGGAAATAGGCTTGACTAAAATTGAAGAACTATGGTTAACTATCTTTTTCATGTAGCATCAATATCAATAATAATTAATGTTATTGCTACACTAAGGTATGATGTTATATCTATTGACATAAAATAAAAGTGGCTGTTTGAAAGTAAGTAGGCCCACACTTTCAAATAAGTTTGTCTTTTCTAATTAAATCATAGAATTACATCATTTTAAAACACGCCAGCACCACTTCACACACATCATAACATTTTCAACACATCTTTAATAAGGCAATGCACATTCCCTATTTCTTGGAAGTCTGTCCTATAATTCGACCCTTAAATAAGATCCCAGCCCCGGCTTCTTGCCATAATTTCAGGCAGATCAGTATATTGCCCGCATTATCTAAATGCCTTGAAAGAATCGTTCACTGCCAAATAACTGATTTTAACTGATAGTAAATTCATATTATTTTCCAATACCACTCAGCTCGCTTGAGCAATTGAAAATATTATTCAGCAAAATCGTGTGGCAGGCTTATTTATTTTAATATGAGTATGAACATTGATTATGGAAACAAGCTAGATTCCTTAGCCATTGTCTGTAATAAATAATAATCTACGCTCCTACCCAGAGTTTATTATTCTATTGATAGATATTTTGTATTAACCGTAGAAAAATTATTAATTGTTCATAATTTGAATAGTTTTGGCAGTTTTCGTTTACAATTTGACAGTTAATTATTTAAATGTGTTTTGATTAGGCCATAAAATATAGATTGATTTATTCCAAAGAAAGAGCGTTATGCACATATTTTTACAAATTTAAGGTATTAATTTCTACACCATTTGCCTCGTTAAATAGTTTTTAGCGATTTTCCCATGTGGGGAATAAGCTATTACCGTAGTACTCATGGTAAGACCTGGACCCGGACCGATTTAGTTTTTCGTTTTGAGGTCCCTAGAGGCAAAAAACCAAAATCAAATTCCGTTCAAATTCATAGTGTATATATTCCGTTAGCATGATAACTCGAGCAAAAATGGATAGATTTTGATGAAATTTTGTATAAACGTGTAAACCCACATTTATTCGAACGAGTTCGCAAACCAGCATGATCAGACTATGGGAACGGGGGTTTATGGGGGATTTTATGAGGTAAAAATTAGGTGTTCCCATTTTTAACCCAAAACCATAAAATTTAGCAATTTATTTCCAAACTATTTTGTAGAGAGCTTAAAAAAAACGAATAATTTAGTATATTGAATCGTTATTATGCGCCTAATGGTTACGCAGAAAAACACTCCGGACAGCTCGCCTTGACTACTTCCTTAACACCTTCCTACGTCGCGGACCTGTTTTCCTTCCTTCCCATAGCATTTTAAGATTGTAGATACCTTAATCTAATCGTCGTTAACAGTTCCCACACTCCGGACTACTCACCTTTACTGCTTCCATCACGACTTCCTACGTCACGGACCTGTTTCCCTCCCTTCCCATAGCATTTTTGGAAAACATTAAATTTAAAATTCCCATGTTATTCTTATGGGGAATAAGTAAAATGTTGTAGTTAGCTTGTTTATCAACATATTTTGATCAAATTTGGAAAATACATTTATTTATTACTAAACTATTAACAGCTGATCTTAGTCAGTAACAAAGCTACACAGATCATCTCACGCCATTCTACACTCATCCTTCACTCATATTTGGGTTAAAATACGCACCTAAGTGGCGTCCCCATCTTAATGATTGATAATAAAATAATAATAATAATTTTACAAAAAAAAGCTTTTATCCTCCTTGTTGCAGCAAACATAAGTACTTGTTAAACTAATTATATAAAAATAGGGAGTAAATGTGATATTTTAAAGGAATCATTTTAGTGTAAATCCAATCAGGCAAATGGGAATTCGCTTAGTCTGCATGTTTGCTGTGGTGGGGGTAATTAATCATACTTCAATTTCGGACCACTTATTTAATAAATCCTGATGGTTCTCACTCAACGATAGCTGCTATATTTTCACGAGTATAACTGCATTATATGCACGTTACACTTATATACGCTAACCCGACGCAGGACGGGTACTCTGCTAGTTCATTACACAGATTTGAAACCATTACATAACAATTCTAATATTTGAAGTTCATTGTTGGTGATAGTGAGTTAATGTTGTTCAAAGGTTTATTGCGGACATTTTCCACAGTGCATATTTTTGACTGCTACCTTCTGTAGTGTATTCCAACTTAGGTTGGGCGTTTGTGTATTGTTAGTTGTAATGTTAAGTTTTGTAAGTTAAGTTTTTTTTCACCTGAGGACGGGATCAGATTCCAGATCCCGAAACGTTGTGTATTGTTTTTTACAATCGTGTTGGAAAATGTCCTCAATAGACCTTTGAACAACAATTGTAATACTTCCGAAATATATAGGAATATTCAAACTATTTACAATATATTTCGGATGTCTCATGTTTCTTTCAGATTTACATATACATAGCCAATACGTTTTAAAATATATATTTAATATATATATATATATGTATACACATATTCATTTAGTTATAAATATAATCTATTATATCTACAAAGATAGTTTTCAGAATCGTAGTTAGTAAATTATTCCGTCAAAAGGTTTTGTTAATAATAAACGTCAGTGATGTGTTTATATAAGAGTAAACTGAACTGAGAAACTCCAGCATATCCATCAGGTTGATTAATCACCTGTGTTACTAACTCATAAAATGTCTGTCATTGTTTAATCAAATGGTAACTCTTGAGTCCTTGATGAGAATGTCGGATAAATCGTTTTAGTTGTTTGTTCATCGTGCCGCCATGAGCAACTCCATTACCGTTTCGATTGTTCTGCTCTGCACTTTAAACGTAAGTTAAAACTATCGATGGATAATTAAAATTATTGATTATTGAAATTAGAATTTTTTGGAGTGTCAATGTGAATGATCTTGGTCATAAAACTTAAAAATAGTTACTTACCAGTTAACCTAGTTTAATATATTTTACCAAAATGAAAAATACTAAACAAAAACTAATAGGTAGTTAATTATATTTTAAATAAACTTAAAACTACATCATTATATTTTAGTATTTAATTTAGCAAAACAAAGACTACATTATATGTCTCAAGTCAAATTTACATTAATTAGTTATTCGAAAGGCTTTTATTTAGACATATTTATAGGTAAAACATTCCTCCACGGAGACAACTGAGTTAATATAAATTTCAATTGTTGAATATGTTTTTTGTACTTATTAAAATCAAGTGTGATTATTTGTTTGTATTACTGTATTCTGTTTTGTTTATTTCAGCTTCTTAACCAATCAATAGTTTTATTAATACGTATGAAGTCAAACGGGGTGAAACCCGTGGGTAACAGCTAGCTATATAATCAATGTTCTTCGTAACAATTTCAAAATTAAAAAAAAAACCTCTATTCTTATTAAAATGTTGTCCATACCCCACTCATAAAATTACCCCAGGTACAGTCGTTAGTTAGTTACTAGAGCAAGATGATTATTGTGTCTATTCTCTTTAGACCTATATCTATTGTAGTTAGTTACTAGAGCAAGATGATTATTGTGTCTATACTCTTTAGACCTATGTCGATTGTAGTTAGTTACTAGAGCAAGATAATTATTGTGTCTATACTCTTTAGACCTATGTCGATTGTAGTTAGTTACTAGAGCATGATAATTATTGTGTCTATACTCTTTAGACCTATGTCGATTGTAGTTAGGCCCAGCCCTCCAAGACTGCAGCACTGTCTTGTTTCTGGGATAAAAAATATGTTGTATGTATTCTGAATGTACATGGGTAGTTTTATTTCATTTTTTCACTTACATATCACAAATCTTGCTGACAAAAATACAAAAAAAATTATGGTAAGATTAATAGTTTATTTTGCTGCAACATTTGTTTTAAAAATTAGATTTAGTTTTTACGTAAAAGATTAGAATTTTATGGAGGGAGATGTGGGATTAATTAACTGCAGGAATACTATTATGTTGAACAAAAGCTCTTCTCAAGTAATAACTCTGGACTTAGGACTAATTAATTTTAGTAAACAATCTCAATGACAAGGATTTTAATTTTCTTTCAAACAGCCTGATACAATAATAATAAGTTACAGTCCTGTAGTATTTTGTGCCGTATTTAGTTTGCCTCTGTTTTATTGAGTAGTATAATCATATTATTTAGGTCTAAAGGTTTAAAACACGTTAAATATTAACAGTAATAGAAGATGGAAGAATTAATTTCATACTAGGATTTGTCTTGTAATTCGTATTAATGGTGAATTAATTATGAATTAATCAGCTGGATACACTTGAATGAGTTTCCGAACCAGCAAGATCGGGTCATGGAAGCAAATCGGGTGTTTTGGGGGTGTAATTGTTAAAAAAATAGGGGTTTTTCAAATTTGTACCCATTTAACATAAAAAAAACAATTTTTTTTACAACCTTCAAGTAAGTAGAGTAAAAAAACTAAATCATTTTGTACGCGGAAGTGGTGTAGGATTAAAGGTTAAGGAGAATATTCCATAAGACTTTACTACCTACTTGAAAATGCATTTAAAACTAATTACTGCACTATATTATTTTTATGGACGAGAAGTAGACTTTTGTAATTTGCTAACTAACAATGTTGTAATATGCAACATTACATGCTACGTATTTACACATATGTAAATATACACATACACACATATGCACAAAAAATACGCATCTGTAGATATAGGCATATGTATGTGTATTATTATTATTACATATTTGCATGGCGTTGTGTTGTTGCAATGTTGTGAGTGTTTTGTTGTATGTTGTCTATTGTATTTGTGTGTGTGCTATGTTCTTGTTGTTTGTTGTATATGTTTTTGTATTGAGAAAATTTGGCTGTTGTATGTATTTCATATAAGCATATAACCATAAAACAGTTTTTCCCTCACTATACCAGCTTTATAAAGTTTCCTGTGATTTTTAACGAAGTACTCGTTTAATCTAATGTCATTTTAATAGGGTATAAATCTTGCAAGTTCAAGACAATAATTTAGTCAAAGATTACTTACCTGATTAGATTAGATTATTTACCTGTAATCATTACACTTATGTAGAATACTTTCACATTATGTAGTATTTCAAAAAGCTTGTTTGTGTATTTTGGATATAAAATGCAATATTGTTTTGCAGATGGTGATGCCATTCTTTTTTGACGCGAAAGACTCCAGCAACGCGTTCAGGGACTCCCGTTCTTCGCACATTTCATTCTTCAAGGGTCCCGACGGTAACTGCTACCGACAAGTGATCACTAACGACAACGGCAACGAGGTGATCAGGAATGAGAAGGTCGACTGTGCTGAGGCAGAGCGAGAGATGAAGGAACATCAGGCCAAGACTCAGCACAAGATCAAGCAGCAGTTCCACAAAGTCAATGAGGACATGAAAAAAACACAAAAAGCCATCGAGGACCAAATCAAAAACAGCATGAAGAGTTTTAACTTCTTCTAAAACAACGCTTTAAATTCAAACGTTTGGAGTAAATTATGTGATAATACTTACTTGAAAATAAAACTAGAATGAAACTGTTTTTATTTGTCTAGACCAAACAATATGTTTTAAAGTATAAAACCCGTATTACATGAGAATTTGTAACGATGATATGCTAAAATAGTTAGCTCATGATTCCATGGTAAAATGATAGGGGTATAATATAATGATTTCGGAGTGGTTGCCAAGTGGCTCATTTTACAACTTTGCAGGCAAAATTAGAATAGTAAACCCAAAATCTACTCAAAACTCAATTGTGAGTACTCTGTGAATAATGTTAAAAAGATCGATTCAGACACATCAGTTGCGGCAAGCAGTCAAGGTACATGGTGCAGTCACATCAGTAAAGCATTCTTTAATGGTTTTTAATTGCGCTATCTACACTCATCCTACGCAGTTCCGTCAGTAAATTTCAGATTCCTTCTCACCGGTATTTTTGTATTGTTTGGACGCCTGACGGACGTGTTTAAGGTAAGAAAATAGTTTTTTGTTTGTTATTTAAATGACTGTGTTTATATTATAAGTACTGTTTGTAACAATCAACTAGATGGACGATGAAAATTTTGTAGAATATAGTGTTAGCAAATAGTACCATATACAAATAACAAAAAAACCACATTTAACACTAATGGACCCATTTCATTTAGTGTTAACCCAAAATAACATGCATTTGATATAGGAAAATATTACTTTTTTTGTTATTTACACAAAAACAAAAAGAGATAGGAAGTAAGTGTACACACAAAGTTGTTAAGAATCGAAAAACCTATAAAATGATGTGCCTTTTGACATATGTTGCTATTTGAAAATTTTAAACAATGCATATTTGCAAATTTACAAAACTCAATTTTTTTGAAATTTTTATTATAAACAAACCCGTTACTTGTAGCATATCACAGGAAAGCTAATTTCATAACGAATAAGAACATTCAACCGAAGAAAGGCTGCATAGGTATAGAAAACACAGAGTTTTAAACACGGCATATTGATTTTTTCCAAAAATAACTGCCACCATTTTGAAACGGAAAAAGATAATTATTAATATCTGTGTTCACCAAAATGTCCAAACTGTCTATTAAATACCTTTACATGACAATGACAAAATTGATGTATAACATGACATGTTTAAGTTGGAAAATTCCGAGTTTATTGAGTGGTAAATAATTTTATCTTATCCTTCTACATTTTTCCGTAATCAATTTGAGACAACTTACGTGGGACTGTATACAGGGTTGAATGTGACCCTGTAGTAGGTACATTACTAATTTATGTACCTACAAACTAAAATTAAAATTAGTACTGAAAACAAATTTTATAATAGAAAATTTTTTAGACAAGTTAGATTATTGTTTGTCTATTCATGGAATACCTATTATTTCGAAAAGTAATGTTAATCGAGCCAAAACGATTAAAAACCTTTAAATCACAACTAATCAAGTCAAAATATTCACTGAGTTAAGTAAGATGTTCAGTGTGAGACTTGGATATGACTGAGGAAGATAGCCGATGTTATCATACTCGTTATGATATGTTACGATAACTCGTTAGAGATATACTCCATAAATCAACCGATAGTCCATCTCTGCAGTCCATCCAAGTTTACGCCTTTTTGTAGCAGCTTAACCGTTTTGTTGAATGGTTAAAGCGAGCCCTATTACACTTTCAGAAAAATTAGATATTTGGATGTTTGGTTATTTATAATTTGTTTTTTAATCTAGTTCGTAAACTGTGAACCCATCACTTAAAAATGACCAAAGAGGTAAGAAGACATGACTATTGCATACCTTTGTTGAATGAGCTATATTGACTGTAACAATAATCAACCGTCAGATGGTCAGAATTATTTACTACTCTGTCAAGTTTCAAGACGATGATGATCAACTAGTAAATAATTACTGGCTGTTGCGACTTTAATATTTCTAAATTGACATAGGCTATACAAATTTGAGCCACAAGTTTTGTGAAGCTTAATACCTATAAAATGCACGCAATAGGTCTGCTACTGATAAGTAAGAATTTCAGGTTTATTTGCATAGTCTTTAGGACAAATATAAAACTTCAAAATACGGGTGTTATTGCATACAGGTTAGTGATTTTAGTACCTACTAATAAACGGCACCAGCCAAAAAACTGACCCAAAAAGGGACCTTCTATTAGCTTGTCAACAACTTTTATTGTGTATAAGGTAAGCGTTGGGAGTAACTTCTCTATTTCGTGCGTAAAATCACAACAATTGCAGTAAGTTTTGTAACTTAATTTTTACAGTATTGAGGGTGTGTACCTTTTTGTTGAAACTAGAATAATATACAAAATTTATATCAAAACCGTCCGAGTCGTGTTCGTGAAATAGTAATTTCCGTTATTTTTTTGGGTTATGAGAATGGCACCTATAATAGTCAAAGGATAACAAAATTAATAAGCACCTGGAGGTACCTTGGAGTAGTATCTAAATACCAAATTTAATCAAAATCTGATAACATGACTGTGTAGTCTGTAGCGCAGTCACATCCACTTTACACATACATACATACATACATACGGACACACAGATAGATATCACTTTCACGCAAAACTGAAATACTAAAATTTTGACGAAAAAGATACTTTCACCCTATACAATGTATTGGGGGCGAAACTAAAAAGCAATACTTAGACATTAAAACTCCCAATTTATTCTGAAGATCAACATTTAGCATTATAAGAGATATGCGTATTTGCATAAAAAAGTGTATGTAATACGAGTATAGTGGTTTGGTATAAATGTATACTAATGTATATACTATATATACTAATGTACCATATGTATATTTAATGTATGCTAGGTAAACCGAATAGTGACTAACAAACATTAATATTTCCTTTATATCACACAGTGGCAGTAACAACCTCTAGCCCTCATTTATGTATTAGAGGTTATAACGGGTCGCATGCATTCATTTGTAAAAACAAGAAACAAGATTCCAACAACAGCCGATTTGTTCTATTTGCTGGAGATTGTATTGTAAACTTGATATCTTATAATTATTTCAACATTACCTTGCCTCCACGTCCAACCATACATACTAACTAATAATATCACTTGAAATATAAATGTATACAATTATTCTCATTATGACATATGTTTTTTTTATGCCATTGACTGTTATATAGTCATTTAAATTTAATGTTAGATGATATTCAACGACCTAATAATGACATTAGAATAATGCCAACTGGAGTGATAAAAAACAGTGTTCCAAAAACCACAATCGAAACGATAACAGATCCCCGTCCTCAGTGGTCAAGTCAGCATGTAAATGTCAAGTCATTTTAAAATGATAATTCAACTCAAAACTACCCTTAACACTCATTGTACTATATTAACTTTGAGTTCCCCACATCATTCATTATCTTGGAAAAATAGGGTGAAAAGAAAAAAATCTATTGCTGTAATTTTTATAAGATTGATTTGCTGTATTACATTTATAAATAAAAAAACTGTTGTTTGGTTTGATATAAAGTAAGATTTAACCAATCCAAATGAAAATATCTAAACATTGTTCTAGGAAGTAAGTGAAGACGTGTTGTACAAAACACACACTGCCATAGAGAAGCTGTCAGATGGCAGTTGTGTCAAACGAGTGACGATAACTAGGAATGGAAAATCTGAAGTAAAAGAAGAAAAGGTAGATTGCGAGTCTGCACTCAATGACGCGAGAGGGACAGACGGCAAAGACGAGGTTGTATTCAAACAAAACAATGACGATTTCGATAAGAAGATGAAAGAAAAATTAAGCGAAATTAATAAAAGTTTTTCTACCCAAAACGAGCCTACTCTGTCAACTAGAGAAGAAACATATACTGATGGAACCAACAAGACGGTAAAAGTAACTCGCGAAAGCAGTTCCATAGAAGAAACCAAGAAAACAGAGAAGATACCTGATGGTACCAAAAGATCCTTAAAAATAACACGAGAAAGCTTTCTCGAAGAAACTAAGAAAAGCGTTAGTCCAGAATCTGTATTACCTGAGGACTTAAAAGAACGAGTCAACATTCTGGACGAGAGCTTCAAGGAGCAGGCAAATGAAGGATCAGAAGGTGCGAGTTCTGAAAAAATAGAACCTGATGGAGCAGTACAAGGGAGTACTAATGGCACTGAACTATCTAAGGGCGAAAAGTCGGGAGCTTTGAGAGAAATAGAGGAATCAGATGGTGACCTACCGGAATCGGACGAAGGGGCTACAAACGAAAATATGGAACTAGCAGAATCTGAAGACAACTTCCTTACTAAGTTTGTGAAAACAGTTTTTAAAATATTATTTTATCCCTTATATGCATTAAATATTTTGTAAAATTTCAAGTAGGTACAGTATTTGGCGAGTTATTATAAAAATGTATAATTGATTCACAGGGTCAAATTTAGATTCCCTTACACTAGCAATGCAGACATATATAATCAGGTCTTAGACTGGTCTTAACTAATCATGGTGGAAGAGATAAAATATAATACTTAACCAATGGTTCTTTGAGGTGTAATAATATAGAGACACATAAAACTGTGAATAGTAATTTTCATTAGTTATAGGACCAACGTTAGCTTTTCCCATAGTCTAATTGCTCGTGATGGCACCTCTGTACGTGGAAGACGTGCAAAAAGTAAAGTAAATGCATTATAATCTTACATGTTTTAATGCAAGACGGAAATATAATTTCAGTCTATGTTACATATTGGGACATACACACACACTAGACAGTAGAACCCACTAGAGCTGGTTCTGTATATCTTATATACTGAACTTAGTAACAAATTCCATATTAAACACTAATGGGCATTTAAAAATACTAATTTAGAATTGGGTTATCCATTATTTCAACTACATATGCACACTAAATACAATAACAATGCTACCACTTTAAGTATTAAAGCTTGCTATAAAAATAGGAAATATAAAAATATGTTATTTTACGTGTAAATGATTAATTCTAAGATGGGGTTAGGATAATTAATTGGTTTCTATTTTATTTTGCCTTGCGTGGTTCTCTTTAATAGATTGGACTAGAGGTCGTGCTGTATAATTTGAATTTTTTCAAATATACAGGGTGTTAAAAAAAGGTGGGTGCATAATGTACGTAGTGATTCCTTGGGTCAAATAAAGATAAAATCAAGAATAAATTTTTTTCCAAAATTGCTTCGTTAACCAGATATCCGCCATTTTGTATTTTTTACGTAAACATTTGTATCTTTGAAATTGTTCAACCGTTCTTTAAAATTCCCTATCAAACCGTACCAAGTTTAAAAAGATCGAATAAGAAATAGCTGAAAAATATTAAGTTTTTTAGTTGTAAAATGGGGCAAACCTGTCTAGCTTAGCCTTATTCTACACCACAAAAAAATGACGGATATATGGTTAACGAAGCGATTAGGGGAAGATGTTATTCATGATTTTCTCATTATTTTGACCCAAGGAATCACTACGTAAATTATGTCCCCACCTTTTGTAAACACCCTGTATATCGTCAACGGAAGTTTCAAATTACTATTTATCTTGCAATTTTATTGGTCGTCTTACATTTTGAAGGTCGTCGTCAGTCAATTGAGTAAAACGTTTTCATCAAAACGGTAGACCTCGTTAAACGAAGCTATTCTAACATACTGTAATGAATATGCCCTTAGCCTGTAATATTGTTGAAACATTGTTATTGTTGCCTCAATACATGAATCAGCACAGAGAACTGTATACAAATAGTTGAGACAAGTAAATACGACTACTGTTAGAGGTTTGCATAGTGTGAATGAATACATGAAAATGACTAGCATGTGCGATAAAAAGAAGACGAAATAGCAATAGAATCTGCTTAGTCCGTGGAGCTTCAGAAGAAAACTTGATTATTTTACGATAGTTTTATTCTGGGGAGAGAAAAAGGCAGGAAAAGTAAATAATGCATTTAATTAACCATTCTTGGAACAAAATATGTTGACGTCTTTAAAACAAGAACTTGTTTTATTGATTTATTACTAAAAGAGTAACACAATTACATATATACATACCTACCACATAATGAACATATTTAAACCTTTATTAATGATAAAATATGACAACTTGCAAAAATAAATGTCTATGTACACTTATCAATTAATTACAAAGTTAGAGTTGGAAGAAATCTATTCTACTGGTAGATGAGATAGAATTAAGTGGGATAAAGATATAGAGACCTAATTCTAATAGAGTAAAATTTCTAACCTAATAATATCATTCATATTACTAGTTGGTCACCGTTCAGTTTTATAATATATCATCGAAACACAAATATTAGTAATACAGCTCAACCATATAGTCCTCAAGTTTATAAATAAATCACGCGTTGAATATAGTATAAAATCTAGCATTTACTTGAAAAAGTACTAACCATCCCCAGATAAAGTTAATAAGAAACAGAATTTCTCAAAGCTGACGGCTAGCTATGTTTTATGTCTCTCAAAGGGGTTACGCGACGAGGAAGAGAATGTATAAAGAGTCTGAGTACACCATTCCTACTTTGCTTACAGACAACAAGGTTGATATTAGTTGTTCAGTTGCTCTACTTCCCACACTTACCATGATCAATGATTTATGCGATTGAGTACAGACGTAATATGTACCAACGAGTGGTCTTGTATTATTAAATTTTGTTAACAACGTCAATTTGATGATTGGGCTATTGCTTTGTAAGATCATTAAATTCAATTTAAGTTGAATACAGTGATATAAAATAAACTATTGAATGATTGAATTTAATTCAATAGTTGTAGAACATAGTTTACCAAATTAAGGCATTATTTCTTTTTCATCGAGAAATAAATATGAAACAACATACGGGTGATAACAAAAATTGAGCCCTTGGTTAGAAATTTTGGTTAAGTAACTTCTCACTGCATTTATACTAGTTGAGATCATCTTTGTTGTTACATCAAAAACTTATACTTCATAAATAGCAATATGAATAATATGGAGACTATGACCAGGACCTATGTGTGGAAATGAACCAGTCAAAAAAGTAATTATAAGGAGGTAATGTGTCTTTTTTTCTAATGATTAATATTGCAGTATCCCCAATTAGTGAACCATACTCTAAGCCACCAACATACTCTTCGTTATCATACTCTGTAAGTGATAACTACTAAATAGTTTGTATTTATGCTTTTTCATTGAAACAATACGTTTATGAGTAAGTTTTGAAATAGTTATGCTGTGAGTAGTTCGCTTCTTGTTGTCGTAGGCACTCATACTGTAGGCACATCTCTGGGATCTGCTAGACACTAGTTGCCACATTAAACGTTGCATGTAATGCTAAGAGTTTTAATTGTTATTTTTAGTACTTCATTAGCTGAAGGTAATGGGTCTTATCTCACACTATCAAGAACATTTTGTGGTAAGGTGGGGAGAGCCCTAAATCACTAATGTACAAACCTCAAATCACACGTTGTATACAATAGTAATATAAAAATGTTCGTAAAGTGACCAACATTTGAAATTACAATGAAATATGTATCGTTAAATTACAAATTACAAAATAATTGTGTTAACAACAATGACTTACAACGTTGTAGCTTTAGTTTTGATATGTCAGGGTGAGAATGATTTTAACAAAAATATGTAATAGGTACGTACACAACTCATTAATTTATGCTTATGAGTTTAAATTCACTTACATGGTGGAACTTAGAACAAAATCCCGTTCTACAAGCAGGAGATACAGCCTTTCTATTAACTTTTTAAATCTCCACAAGTTTTACAGATACGCTTGAACCCTCACAACTAGCCTTTTGTCCCAGTTATTATTGTTAACGATGGATGTAGACTTAAAATACGAGTAAAACAACTTTAACCATGGAGCATAAACTAGTTTGACATCTGAAATAGAGTTTATACTAACAATACTATTGAAATTCTTCTCAAGCATTTCACTTGCAGAATAGAATATAAGTAGTACACCATTAGTTTTTTTACATCTAGTCACTCTGGTTTGTAAGCCAAAAATTAGTAAAATATCCTAATTCTATTTATTTGTGCAATAAATCAAACAACATCGATGGTTTCATCAAATTAAAAGAAAGGAATAAGCTTTCAAACAGGAAAGACAATGTCTTTAGTGTAACCTTTATACAACATATGTCATTAAAGGAAACGCAAATAAAAAATTGTAAACTCTAAGACCATGTATAAATGTAAAAAATGAAACCACTTGTTTAAAACACCATAAACAAATTATTTCACAATACGTTTCCCGGAATCATTTTGATTCTAAAACACAAACAAAACAATTGTTTCGCAAAGTTATGATTCAACATATCTAGGGTACACAGGTCATACAGTTGATTATGTACGGACAATTTATCATCACGAACTATTACTATAAACATTACAACAAAATATATGTTATTCTATTTATTATTTATTTAGTTAATATTTACATGATTTTACAAACGGAATTGAGTTATAAAAACGGGACAGAACATTTAATTACAAACATATGTTAGAAGTTATGCTTCGTTATGAGAATGCTCATAATAAAAGCATATTACTGTAATTGATTAAGACACAATTAATGGGCATTTTATACTTTAATAAATTGTTATGAACTTGTCATAGAATAATCCTAAATTAATCTCTACAAGTATATGGAAACAGTACAATTAATGGGTTTGCTTATTACAGAAGATTTGTATATTTTATGCATAAGTTTTGTTAGTTTGCCAAAGTAAAATGCTACAAATATTCGTTCAAACCAATCGAGAATATCATAGATAAAACATACTCCCTTAGAGAATATCTAGCTTAAACACATGTTTTTTTTTATTAAAAAGGGCAAATAAAAAATGTAAAATGATATTTGATTTTAATCTCTAATTCCATAAATGTAACTGTACACAACATAATATTTTATAACAAACATTCAACTAATATCGTAACTATTTTTCAAATCACAAATCGCATTCTCAAAAATACGCTATAACCAACACGTAAGTAGAAAAACATGAAACACATTCTAGTATAACTATCCAAAAATCAACAAGTTGAGTCTCAGGCATAACACAACGTTTGCCGTGGAAACAGGGAAGGCAAGGTTATTGCATAGTAGAGTTAGGTTTAGAATGGGTCGTTGTCTAATTATTCGTTTAAACATGTTAAGTTTAGCGTTTAAAACATCTGAAGTTAAATAATTAAAACACACTCGGCCATACGTTGTCCTGCTGGCTTGTGGGATTAGTCAATGTCCCAAAGAAGGGTTCATTTAGGAAATGTGGATTACCTGTGGATGGATTTTGCCATGTGTTACCGTGACAAATAAATAGTTTAGTTTTGGTGTAGTATTTCATGATTATAACGATTGTTTGGTTTAGATTTAAAACTTCAGCTTATCAATATGAAGCATGCTAAGTGAAAGTGACTGACGAGTTGTAAATTACCTCTTGCATGCATAAAAGTGGAAACTAACCACGAGCTACGGTTTCATAATGTATGAGCGAGAACGTACGTACAAGGACATACTAAGTATCAGTAGTTCATACATAGGCTAGGAGATTGAAGTTATATTAAAATGACCGTTTAAACTGTTAACACAGTCTAAATTTGATGATGACCTGTCATACATTTGCATCATCTTTTTATTGAGGAATTTATGTAATTTTATTCGTGTAATTTAAGTAAACTATATAGATTAGATTACATTACTCATAATGAATAAATTTACAAATAAAAAGATCAGGAAACGCAATAAAAAAATTTCACCAAACAACGACCCGACACAGGTTGTAATCATGACTATTATTCATGCTTTTATAGGCATTATCGATTAGTCTAACATTTAAAATAACTTATATAAAGCAAATGACAGAATTTAAAATTGGTGTTAGTCTTTAAATATTTGCCAATGCACGGTACCTATCACTTCCAAACATTTTATATAACCACAAACAAGGTCCAGAGAGAAAAGTCCTCGAAGGCATTGCTTTGAGACGATCACAAGACTGTGTCGAGAGTCTCCAGTGATTGTAGGATCTGGTCATCTCGAGAGCACCACTCTACCAGCTCGTCTATCGTCACCACACCGTCCTTGTTTGTGTCTATCAACTGAACAGTACATGAAATAATCAGTGATCAGTGTGTAGCTCACAATGCAACTCAGTGTGAAGACTTTCAAGGATAAGTAGGATCTGGCCATCTCGAGAGCATCACTCTACCAGCTCGTCTATCGTCACCACACCGTCCTTGTTTGTGTCTATCAACTGAACAGTACATGAAATAATCAGTGATCAGAGTGTAACTCACAATGCAACTCAGTGTGAAGTCTTTCAAGGATAAGTAGGATCTGGTCATCTCGAGAACATCACTCTACCAGCTCGTCTATCGTCACCACACCGTCCTTGTTTGTGTCTATCAACTGAACAGTACATGAAATAATCAGTGATCTGAGTGTAACTCACAATGCAACTGAGTGTGAAGTCTTTCAAGGATAAGTAGGATCTGGTCATCTCGAGAGCATCACTCTACCAGCTCGTCTATCGTCACCACACCGTCCTTGTTTGTGTCTATCAACTGAACAGTACATGAAATAATCAGTGATCAGTGTGTAGCTCACAATGCAACTCAGTGTGAAGACTTTCAAGGATAAGTAGGATCTGGCCATCTCGAGAGCATCACTCTACCAGCTCGTCTATCGTCACCACACCGTCCTTGTTTGTGTCTATCAACTGAACAGTACATGAAATAATCAGTGATCTGAGTGTAACTCACAATGCAACTGAGTGTGAAGACTTTCAAGGATAAGTAGGATCTGGTCATCTCGAGAGCACCACTCTACCAGCTCGTCTATCGTCACCACACTGTCCTTGTTTGTGTCTATCAACTGAACAGTACATGAAATAATCAGTGATCAGAGTGTAACTCACAATGCAACTCAGTGTGAAGTCTTTCAAGGATAAGTAGGATCTGGCCATCTCGAGAGCATCACTCTACCAGCTCGTCTATCGTCACCACACTGTCCTTGTTTGTGTCTATCAACTGAACAGTACATGAAATAATCAGTGATCAGAGTGTAGCTCACAATGCAACTCAGTGTGAAGTCTTTCAAGGATAAGTAGGATCTGGCCATCTCGAGAGCATCACTCTACCAGCTCGTCTATCGTCACCACACCGTCCTTGTTTGTGTCTATCAACTGAACAGTACATGAAATAATCAGTGATCAGAGTGTAGCTCACAATGCAACTCAGTGTGAAGTCTTTCAAGGATAAGTAAGATCTGGTCATCTCGAGAGCATCACTCTACCAGCTCGTCTATCGTCACCACACCGTCCTTGTTTGTGTCTATCAACTGAACAGTACATGAAATAATCAGTGATCAGTGTGTAGCTCACAATGCAACTCAGTGTGAAGTCTTTCAAGGATAAGTAAGATCTGGTCATCTCGAGAGCATCACTCTACCAGCTCGTCTATCGTCACCACACCGTCCTTGTTTGTGTCTATCAACTGAACAGTACATGAAATAATCAGTGATCAGTGTGTAGCTCACAATGCAACTCAGTGTGAAGTCTTTCAAGGATAAGTAAGATCTGGTCATCTCGAGAGCATCACTCTACCAGCTCGTCTATCGTCACCACACCGTCCTTGTTTGTGTCTATCAACTGAACAGTACATGAAATAATCAGTGATCAGAGTGTAGCTCACAATGCAACTCAGTGTGAAGTCTTTCAAGGATAAGTAGGATCTGGCCATCTCGAGAGCATCACTCTACCAGCTCGTCTATCGTCACCACACCGTCCTTGTTTGTGTCTATCAACTGAACAGTACATGAAATAATCAGTGATCAGTGTGTAGCTCACAATGCAACTCAGTGTGAAGACTTTCAAGGATAAGTAGGATCTGGCCATCTCGAGAGCACCACTCTACCAGCTCGTCTATCGTCACCACACCGTCCTTGTTTGTGTCTATCAACTGAACAGTACATGAAATAATCAGTGATCTGAGTGTAACTCACAATGCAACTGAGTGTGAAGTCTTTCAAGGATAAGTAGGATCTGGCCATCTCGAGAGCATCACTCTACCAGCTCGTCTATCGTCACCACACTGTCCTTGTTTGTGTCTATCAACTGAACAGTACATGAAATAATCAGTGATCTGAGTGTAACTCACAATGCAACTCAGTGTGAAGTCTTTCAAGGATAAGTAGGATCTGGTCATCTCGAGAGCATCACTCTACCAGCTCGTCTATCGTCACCACACTGTCCTTGTTTGTGTCTATCAACTGAACAGTACATGAAATAATCAGTGATCTGAGTGTAACTCACAATGCAACTGAGTGTGAAGTCTTTCAAGGATAAGTAGGATCTGGTCATCTCGAGAGCATCACTCTACCAGCTCGTCTATCGTCACCACACTGTCCTTGTTTGTGTCTATCAACTGAACAGTAATTTACATGAAATAATCAGTGATCAGAGTGTAGCTCACAATGCAACTCAGTGTGAAGTCTTTCAAGGATAAGTAAGATCTGGTCATCTCGAGAGCATCACTCTACCAGCTCGTCTATCGTCACCACACTGTCCTTGTTTGTGTCTATCAACTGAACAGTACATGAAAGAATCAGTGATCAGAGTGTAGCTCACAATGCAACTCAGTGTGAAGTCTTTCAAGGATAAGTAAGATCTGGTCATCTCGAGAACATCACTCTACCAGCTCGTCTATCGTCACCACACCGTCCTTGTTTGTGTCTATCAACTGAACAGTACATGAAATAATCAGTGATCTGAGTGTAACTCACAATGCAACTGAGTGTGAAGTCTTTCAAGGATAAGTAGGATCTGGTCATCTCGAGAGCATCACTCTACCAGCTCGTCTATCGTCACCACACTGTCCTTGTTTGTGTCTATCAACTGAACAGTAATTTACATGAAATAATCAGTGATCAGAGTGTAGCTCACAATGCAACTCAGTGTGAAGTCTTTCAAGGATAAGTAAGATCTGGTCATCTCGAGAACATCACTCTACCAGCTCGTCTATCGTCACCACACCGTCCTTGTTTGTGTCTATCAACTGAACAGTACATGAAATAATCAGTGATCTGAGTGTAACTCACAATGCAACTCAGTGTGAAGACTTTCAAGGATAAGTAGGATCTGGTCATCTCGAGAGCACCACTCTACCAGCTCGTCTATCGTCACCACACTGTCCTTGTTTGTGTCTATCAACTGAAGAGTACATGAAATAATCAGTGATCAGTGTGTAGCTCACAATGCAACTGAGTGTGAAGTCTTTCAAGGATAAGTAGGATCTGGTCATCTCGAGAGCATCACTCTACCAGCTCGTCTATCGTCACCACACCGTCCTTGTTTGTGTCTATCAACTGAACAGTACATGAAATAATCAGTGATCAGTGTGTAACTCACAATGCAACTGAGTTTGAGGTCTTTCAAGGATAAGTAGGATCTGGTCATCTCGAGAGCACCACTCTACCAGCTCGTCTATCGTCACCACACTGTCCTTGTTTGTGTCTATCAACTGAACAGTACATGAAATAATCAGTGATCAGAGTGTAACTCACATTACAACTCAGGGTTGAAGTTTTTAAAGAATACCACTATCTGGTAATTTTGAGAGCACCTCCATATAAACTAGTTTATCATTATCATGACGTTAGTAAACTTTAAAAACACAACACTTAATATATGGTAACTGTTTTAAGCAGTGTAAAATAATTTACTCAATATTGTCATTATAATAGGTGTAGGCTAACACCTTAAGAGCAGTTACCCCTTTACCAGTTCGTCAATTGCCAGGAATTAGTGAGTCGTTTTGAGTCATAATTCGTGCAATTGAATTACGGAGTATATTGTTAAACCTTAACTAATCACAAGAGCTGATTATATATTCTATTACAAAACCATTTTAAATTGATATGTTACTTGTTTCAAAAATCTCTCCTGTATTTAATTAATACTAAAAAATCATTTATATTTATTTCAATGTTTTGTTTAAAATATTTGATTTTTGGAAAATTCTAAAAGACATAAACTCACAGTAAACGGAATAAGTAATAGTGCAAGTAAACATGACACGGTTTTTGCTTAACTCTCCATAATAATATATGATTGAGCAATCACATTTTCAAGTGACAAAAAAATTAAATCCATCCTTTTTTTAGCGAATTTCCCTATAGGGAAGTAGCTATTACCGTAGGTCTCATGGTAAGACCTAGGCTCGGGACCGATTTTTCTTTTTTATTTTGATATCCCCAGAGGCCAAAAACACCATCTGTTCAAATTTTTATATATGTTCTAATTATAATATCATTATGATTTTAAAACACAAACAAAACAATTGTTTCGCAAAGTTATGATTCAACATACCTAGGGTACACAGTCGTTCAAATTTTTTTTGATGTATATATATATATATATCTATATATATGTCCATACGGATGATAACTTGAGTAATTTTCGTCCGATTTTGATAAAATTTGGTTTGAAGGTGTATACGGCGGGATAAAATTGAATGAGTTCGCGAACCAGCATGATCGGACCATGGGAGGGGGGTTTAACGAAGGATTTTATGGGGTAAAAATGGGGTTTTCTCATTTTTACCCTTAAAACACAAAATTATTAAATTTTCTCCAGACCATTTTAAAGAGCTTAAAAAAACAAATTATTTAGTATATCAAAGTGTTTTTGTGCGGTGATTGGTTACGGAGAAAATTCAAAAAAATGTTAATTTAAAATTCCCATGTTATTTTTACGGAGAGTATTGTAAAATGTTGTAGTTGACTTGTTTATGGATATATTTTGATCAAACTTGGCGCATTTTATATTTCATACTAAGCTATTGGTATTTTAATAAAAAACACACTTTATTAGTTTCCCTGTAGCAGCTAACCTAGGTACACGTTAAAAACAAATGTTAATTTAATACATTAATTCAAAATCAATCCAGGCAAATGGAAATTCGCTTAGTCGGTAGGATTGCTGCAGCGGGGGTATTTACTGTTATGGGTAACGGAGAAAATTCAAAAATTGTAAATTTAAAATTCCCATGTTATTCTTTTCGAGAATATTGGCAAATGTTGTAGTTTGATATTTTATGGATATATTTTGATCAAACCAGGCAAATTTATGTATTTTATACCAAGCTATTAATATTTTACAAAAAATAAACTATATTAGTTTCCTTATAGCATCAAAACTAGGTACTCGTTAAATCTAATGTTATTTTAATTGGGGAAAAATATGTCTTATTTATGGAAATATTTTCGTAAATTTGTAATCAGAAAAATTGAAATTTGCTTAGTCTGCAGGTTTGCTGCGGTGGGGTTATTTCGGCAAATTTATTTATTTTATACTAAGCTCTTAATATTTTACAAAAAATACACTATTCGTTTCCTTGTAGCAGCAAACCTAGGTACTCGTTAAACCTAATGTAATTAGCCCACATAGATTTTATTAAAACTATATTCAGAAGAATGGAAATTTGCTAAGTCAGCAGGTTTGCTGAGGCGGGGATATTCTTAGTATATTTTAGTAAAAATGAATGGAAGGCTAATGTTATGCATAAAAAAATTACGTAAATAGAAGAGGGTAGAAACTAAATGACTATTGGATTGGACGCTTACATGGAAGATCTTCTCAACGTGCTCCTTGGCTGAGTTCTCCTCGACCATGGGCTCAGTCGAGCGACCGAGCATCTCGTAGATGGAGGTGACGACGTCTAGCATCTCCTTCTTGGTGATGAGCCCGTCGCCGTTCTGGTCGTACAGCCCGAAGACCCACTGCAGCTTCTCCTGGACACTGCCACGGGAGACCTTGGACAGGATACCCAGGAAGTCCTGGTGACAATACCAAAGACATGCTTATCTCATCCTACATAGGTGATCCACCGAGGCGATTACCAAAGTTATTAGTAAATAGGATGTATTGACATGAGGGAATAAAGCTTGGTAAACGGTTATATGTGTGAAAGAGTTTATTTAGTTATTAAATTTCACGAATAAAGTAAACTTAAAACAAAAAAGAATGGATTTTTAAGTTATGACGTGGTGTTGAGTTTGAAGACGACTTCTAAAGGTAGAGACAATTATCGTGAGTTTACAATGTTTGTAATACTGTATACGTGGTTTATAAATTCTTAATACTTTTAAACAACACAGTTAATACTTAATACTCTACTGTATACGTTAATACTTTAATACTTTTAATACTTTAATTCTTTTAATACTTTAATTCTTTTAATACTTTAATACTTTTAAACAACACAGTTAATACTTAATACTCTATACGTTAATACTTTAATACTTTTAATACTTTAATTCTTTTAATACTTTAATTCTTTTAATACTTTAATACTTTTAAAACTTTCTTATGAATTAATGGCAATCATACAAAGTAGGTATTTTAAGCCAAGAATGAATGGAACTATTCTTTAAGTAGTTTCCAGAATTTCCCAAACTTCATCACAAAAAATATGGTAAATGGAACTTAAACACAATGGATACATACAAAATTCAATAAGAGAAGCATAAAATACTCTCAAAATAAATACTTGTGCGAGTTAGAGTAAAAATAATATTTATATGGGAAGTTAGAATGCTGAGGTCATTTTAAATTTATGCATATGTAAATTTGTTGTCATATATACACACTTCTTTAGGACCGGGAATGTATCAGGATTCTGTCTTTAGTGAGAGATACTCTTCATGAGTTTATCGTAATAATTGCGACTAGAGACTTTAATTGCGGAGGAATACGTCAAGTAAAGTTGTGAGAGCGTGGGTGGAGTGGGGGTTCAGAATGCATTCCCCCATCCCCACCACCTGTTGACGGTAACAACAAGCGCACGTGGTAATAATCGATGGACTACCCCCGCCCCCACCCCCACCCATCAGCTTCCCGAGAGCAGCGTGACCTTTACGACTGCAGCGCGCTCTGACGTCACTTGATGTGATAGCTCGAACATTATTCAATAATCCCTTTACAAGTTCTCTTTTGAGTATTGAGATGCATCCAAATTTAATTTATGTTTATTTGTTGTGAAAAAATAAAGTTTTATCTCTTGCAGTATCGACGACTTTAAACAATCCTCTTGTAGATCTATTGTAAAATCTGTAAATCTGAAGCTTAGATAGAGAGCTTAGATTTTATGATTTGTGTTTTGTTATACAGTAGTAAATAAGATAACCCATGCTTTATAAATAGATGAGGGCTGTCTTTGTTAAAATAAAAATAACAAGAAACAAATAGTCATCAATAAAACGTGACCTATATAGAGCGCACGTTACTAACATTAACATTTCATCAACTGATTCATGTAAAGGATGATAAAGCTGTAAGGCGTAGCATGATTTATCTATGTCAGTATACAATACAGTTGCATTGACTTATACAATATCTCACTTGTCATCACTAACCAGGTTTAAACAGGTAATATTGCATTCCAGTTGTATGCTAAGTAAACAACCGACCTTATTTCGGATCATTAAAAGGGTCACTTGGAGCTTCTAAGCGTTTGATACATGTTTAATTTCAAATAAACCAGTAGTATGGTGAATCATTAAAGCATAGTAATTACGTGTTTCACATACTCTACAAAACTCACCTCAAAGCTTATCTTGCCTGTCTGGGTGTGTTTCATTGTGTTGAACACATAATGGGCGTACTGGCTTGCATCTGAAACGTACACTGATTGTTAGGTTTCAACGTACCAGAGCTGACCACAACGCGGTCACCAACCGAACATGCTTTGTATTCCAACCGCACAATACGTATTCTGGTCCTTGCGATTGGCAAATTCTGGTTTGCTAGTGTGATTGGTAATGAATAATGCTGTTATGTATGTACTGCACTGGTAACTTTTACACATCAAACTAGAAAGTGTTTTGTAAATAACACCCTTTATATAACATCCAAAATAGGCTATTCCAATTTTAGAAAAATGAGTATACAAGAATTAAACACATTAGAACAGTTTTAGTGTCCTTTTGTGATAAAGTGGATACATTTGGAATATTAAGAATTATAAACTCACTTATACAACTTTGATTTCTTTTAGATTTGCCTCTAGTATAGGTTGAATCGTTCCTTGCTATGTAGGTTGTCATTTGAATACACAAGGTGTCGCGGGCTCTGCAGAACCAGGTTATACTACAAAACTAAGTAAACAATAGCCAGTAATATTTTTTCTATATCGGCTTCATTTAGCCATAATCCGTCGTTTGTCATTTTGCAAATATTGTCAACAACTCAAAGACCGTTGGCTATTTTATTCGAAACATGGTACACACTTCAACTTTGTTGTTGTTAAAAGTCTGCAGATTTTTTTTATCAAACTCCATAAATTAAAAAAAAAATGTAGGCCTATTAAAAATTCCATTAAAACTAGCCAATAAATACAAACGAAATAGCATATTACACTTAAAGGACTCTTTGTTTGAAATATAATGACACTTTGATTATAAACACTGGTCAATAAACAAAAAAGTTATTTCAAACATTTTTTGATGATCTTAATTCCAAAATTGTGGCCATTTAAATTTGCAACGCTGACTTTCATAAAAAATAGCTGTTAAAACTATACATGGTGTCAAATTTAAAGCAGTTTAAAAAATTCAATTCTAATGGCACTTCTATTGTAAAAGTAACTTATTAAATAAACAAGCTTTGTCAATTTGTGTATAAAGTACCTTTAAAAAGGAAGCTATTTAAAAATTTTAAAGTCATAAAAACTAGACAATAGGTAAAATTATAGGAACTACTATTTTTAAGAAAAACATATTACTGGCCATTTTCGACATTTGGCTTTGCAGAGTTCACTGCGTATTTTTTGTGAAACCCTGTATAACATTTTTGTCTTTGGGCCTCTAATTAATCGCTGCATCATGACAAAAGTAAAAGTACCAACGTTATAAAAGACAAGAAAAAAAGGAATGTTCTAATAAAAATATTTACGTGCTTATTACGAGTATATTTTGGACGTATTCATTAAATATTTAAAACGTAAACCTTGCAGTGTAAAAAAATATCAGAATTCGTTTTTATGTGAAAAATGAAAACAAAAGGAAATATTTTTATATAGTGAAATAAAGCATTTATTGGATATTTGTTGATCATAGATCAAGACTGTAAAAACTACAGTGAAAAACAAAGAACGCTCACCTCCCTGAGGGAAGAACTGCGAGAAAATGTGCTTAAACGACTCCTCGTCCACCATGCCCGTCGGACATTCCTGTGAAGAAAAGTTACCACATTACTCACCTGGTCATCATCGTAACTGTTCAACACTCTCACCTGTGTCATTTAACAATATGTGTGTGTCTTTACGCACTCTGGCTGTGAAAAAGGGTAAGTTGGGTTTTTGTTGTGAACATTTATTATTTTGTAAAAAGCTACATATTTGACATTTGGTGTTCTTTATTTATTTTTGTGAGTTACATTACTTTTTTAATTTTACTGCATCTTAGTAACCATAAGAAAATAGTTTATTCTAGTAGAAGTAGTATGGAATAGTAGAAATAGTACTATAGTAGAAAAGCGAGTTCTATATAAAATAGTATGTACTAACTATATAATTGTGTGGCAGCGCTGACCTAGTAAAGAGAGTGTGTTTAAGAATACGTTATGGATTTGTTTGTTTTAAAAATTATATTTCATTGCTTTCTACCAAACTATTCACCAAAATACCGCAATCGGTATAAACAATCTGGAATCATCTTTGTACATCATTCAGTGTGCTAAATATGAATATTAAATACATTTAACACAATGGAAAGCTTAGTTTGTATCAAAGTAACAAAGTACTGGAAACATAACAGTAAATCCTGTACGTAGTTTCCGTTTCTTAAAGTAACAGAAATATGCGTGTAAATGCTGACGAAAAGGAATTTTCGTGACTGGTATCGACTGCTGAAAATGAAACCCCAAAACCAGTGACAAAGAATTTAAAAATCAGTCGATGCTAAGTTTTTTAAACTTAAATAAATATCAAAACGTTAAAAACTTTTTTAACAGTATTATAATGTATTCATTGAATGAAAAAGTTAATAACTGTACTAGAAACAATGCCATACCATAAATGCCGTACTTGAAAATGTGGATGAAGAAGCAAATCAATACTTGAGATGAAACAGCTGAATAGGCCATATGTTAACTCAATCACACTATTGGGAGGAATACCATCTATAAACTTACACTACATAAGTTTATATTTTATTGTTGATCATAAACATAAATGTAGGGCTAGGTTTGGTCAATGGGGTACCTTGACAATATTTTTTTAGGGGCCTTTACAAAAGGAGTATAAATGTAGAAGTAATAACTGGGTCATGGAGCTGTGTTAGGGGTTTTTCCTAAGAACTGAGCTTATCTCATCCGACTCATTCCAAAAAGATAATTTAAAAAAATCCGATAAGGGAAGCATTTTTACCATCATTTACTACAAGACCAACTTAGTAAACCAGTATTTACTCACTAACAATTATAATTACGTTTGTTGCCTTTAGCAGAGTTAAAACAAAGGTTAAAACTGTAGGAGGGATCAAATTATTTATTGAAAATGTGTTTAAACCGTTTGAAAAACACAATACGCTTATTGCTATTGGTTATTGCTGATATTTGTTGTTCCTGTTCTTAGTTATTATTTACTTTATGCAATGTTTCCACTGCAAACTGGAACAAAACTAAAGTAAAGATAGCATTGGTGTAAGCATATAATACGTTGCAATAACATATCGAAAACAAGTTTTTCTTATTTTGTTGGTAGTGTTGTGTCATTAATGTGTTTTTCTTATCAATGATCTACATTTGTTTTTCAAAGACACCATAAATTCTAATTCTTGTATTTTTCAATATTTCGTCAAGGTATTTTGGTAGGGATCATTAGGTTCATATACAGCTTAAACATATACAAGGAGCTGAAAAAGAACAACCTTAAAATAAAAGCTGTCACTTTCAATATAATTTAACTGGAATAGTTACGGCATTTGAAAAAAATATGAGTTTTTTTTTAATTTTAAACCTTGAAACTTGACGTTTAGGTGTTAAAAATGTCATTCATCGTATTAAAACATGTTATTGTGATTAAATTGTTATTACTATACAGAATTTTCTAGGGGATTATAGTGTTTTTATTTAAAATACTACTTTTATACAAAGAGAGTTTGAAAGAAGTTGGGTGGAAGGAAGACCTACATATTGATCAAGTTGTGAAAGAACGCTCAAAACGTGTCCTCGGTAAGCCAACTGAGCGTTTTAGTTTGTGAGTCTATAATCTACAGTTATGTACAGCGCATCTGATCAAACATCTATTTTTGAATTGTTATGTAAACATGCGAGAGTTCTTAGTATCCTGATTCCTGATAAAACACTGTCAAATATTACAATTTCTAAGACTTGAACAATACGACTAAAACATCGTTTACAGCAAATAAGGAGTTTATTAAACAAAAGATCAATGATGTAATATTTATGATATTGAGGTTAAAATGCAAATTGTAAAAAATCTTAAACTAACAGATAGTTGACAGTGATGAATGTCAGGGCTTGTGTTTAAACCCGTTCTGGTTTCTGTAAAAGACGTTGGCTAATCAAATTACAGCCCAGCATTACTGATAAACGCCGTATTACAATGAAAACAAATTAAAAGCAATCTAAAAAAAGTCTTGGTTGAAGCAGGCCAATCAAAAGGTTAAAGTGATGAAATACTGAGTAAGAATAATCTCATCAATACAACAAAGTTAATATTAAAACAGACAATTGCTACAGTCACACACTTCAACAATAATATCATCCTAAAATGTATACTTATCTTTCAAATAATTTCTTTAAATTATATCGCCTCGGTAAACTACTCAGAATATTAATATCGTTGGTACAGTACCAACTAACCTGTTTGAAGCCCCTGTAGATGAGCTGTATTTCTTTTCTTGTGAATTTGGTGGTCTTGGTGAGTTTGTTGAGTTCTTCCGGCCGATAGCGAGCGACGTGGATATTGAACTGGTCCAACTCTTCCTCTGTAACAAAAATAACAACTCTAGTCTGATAACGATGAAGTAGAAGAATTGAGCAATTAGCATAGTGCGTTGGTGTAAATCAATATGTATGGAGTTTTACCATGCAAGACTGAAATAGCTTAAAATTAATCATCCGATAATGTTTTACCAACTATTACAGAAACATTAAGTAAGAAAGGGACACTAGTCCCATAAACACTAGCCCAATCTGTGTTTGGTTCATTCAACTGGTTTCTCTTTCAATTGACTACAACTTGTACATATTGTAGATGGGAAGTCTACTTCTGTATCGAGATGTCAATTTTATTACCCAATCATTTGGCCATTATCTGACTGCAATAGAAAATAAATAAAAAAATTCTAAACAATTTCTTATGTACGCGAATACCAAGTTACGAATGCGGTAAGTGCACTGACAATATAGGCTTATATCAACTCTTTTCGCAGAAGTAGGGGTTATGATAATATATTTTAAATCCGTCACAACATAAATTGGGAGAATGAATTATTATTAATGTAATTAACATACTGTTACATGAGTAAACTGTCCTGATCTACAATTTCGGGATTTAAAACGGCTTTTACACAATATTACTTAACATATTAAAATAAAGGTATAAAATGTAAGGAGGCTAATTGTGTTGTTTGGCGTAATTTTGTAAGGATAACACCTTAAATTATAAAAGTTGATGATAATTATCAATATCATGCCGCCATAAGAACAATCCTCCGTAACAAACACTGCCACAACAAACCTGGAATATAAGTAAGTCTCCATTTGCCTGATTTTATTTTCAATTAAATATATTTAAATAACATTAGGTTTAACAAGTATCGGTCAAAAATTACTCAAGCTATCACGCTCACGGACATATAATATTTAAAAGGGTGGTATTTTTGGCCTCTGGGGACTTCAAAACGAAAAAGTAAATCGGTCCCGGGCCCCGGTCTTACCATGAGAACTATGGTAATAGCTTATTCTCTATGTAGGAAATATCTAAAAAAAATCAAAAAACAAAAGAAACAATGTACAGTATATGAGAAAATACTTGGAGAGAGAAGTTTGTCAATCGGTCCCGTGAGGTCCATACATGTTACAAACGTTGCCTAATCCCAGACGATGCATTTACAGCACTTTACCCGCAACTTCTCATCCGCGCGGTCTTCGAGGTCAAACTATTCTACAGGAGATGTATTGTTGTCAATGTCAATAAATAATGTGAACTATGTTACTTGTAGGCCTATAGTTTGTTTTAAAATTAAATAATCTGATTACCATAAAATATGACTTGTAGTCCAACAAAAGGTTCAGATTAGTTAGTCACAAGGTCAGGGGGACAGTAACCACGACTGCTTCGTTACAGAAAAAACTACCGGTGGTGTATTCACATAACAATAGGTAAAAAATAGTTTGCAATACAAGTTTTAACTATCACACAAACTTGTTGTGACTGTTTTGTAAGATCAAACATACAAAAATCAGGGGTTTCCTCAAGGATGATAAAAATCATAAATCTGCAATAACAAAAAGTAACAACAGAACGAAGTTTTAGGTGCAGTAGTGACACGGGTATAAGCGATGAGTGAAACAGACAACCTTCTCAATTACGGAACTGTTTACGACCTTTAAACAAAAACATGTATTAAACAAATCGCCCTCAGCTGTGCTGTTGAACAGTTGGAGGTTGGGTGACAAAGCCATTGTTTCCTGGTTGAATTGTGTTTTGTTCGTCGGCAGCACATAACGCCGCAATCGGTTATGAGGGAACAATAGCTCGCGACCGACCGGCTCCTGGGACCGCTCCTGTATCCTGTGTTTATATACCAGATACACGACCAAACCGGGACGGAAATGATTAACATGGTCAAGACAGACTATTTACGACAAGGTAGAAACAGAATTTGATCATTAGCTTGGCCGGTAGGATAATGTCTGGCTAAAAGGTAAATTTGGTAACACAAATAATGACTTTGTAGAGACAGAATGCTTGAGAAATGTTATCTTAATAAGAGTATTAAATGAAGTGTATGCCTACAGTGTTTTGAAATAAATTCTTTTTATTTTAGTTAGCAATTATTTTTTTAAAATATTTTAAATGTGCAAAGACATATATATAATCGAGTATATGTTATAAAAAAACTATATCCAATCACGTAAATGTCCAAAAAACTGATTAAAATCTTAACAAAAAACCTGGCTGTGAAACGCATCTTCCTCAAATGAACGGCAGTGCGTTTCTAAGTAAAACTGTTTGTAGAATGGAATCATCATAACTACACTAAACAATTGCTTTTAAACATTATTTTTACGCAGCTTCTTAGTTGTAAAACATTAAAACTGAACTTCATTGGAATTTAACATACAAACAAATTAATTATAAGGGACTCCGGTACGATTACAGGTATTTAGATTGCTAGTGACACTTTATTAAATCCTCTCTGCATGCAACGGTAATAGGAACAGAATGCTGACGTAAATCACCATTCTGTCAGTATCGATATTCACAATCATGCTGTGTCGTTATCAGTGACGCATTGTCGTTATTCCATCGCCTGGCGACTCATTGATCAATTACATCGACTCTTAGATTATCGCCACTGTAATCGTCGGTGATTTTTTACTACACCACCTGCATTGTATTACTCACGGCAAAACAATAATTGTGTAGCTGAGGACCAGGTTTAATTGAAGACAGAAAAAGAAACCAAACAGATTACAGTATGTATAACTTTGTACAGAAAGTAACTACATTTTCCTACAGTCACCCTACAAAGTTGGCTTCATCCACAGATTATAGTACAGAAAGCCTTACTTTGGCGCACAGTTTTTACTTTGGCGCGCACCAGTATTCCAACCAAACAACAGAAAACAGCGTGCTTTTATTATGCACGTAATCCGTGTACGCTTGGAAATAGGTTTGCAACACTTACAAATATTACTACGATTATCTGGTGCACAGTTTCCCATTTCGTTCAATGTTTGTATTTAACCTAACCTAAAAACGTGTTGTACAGGGTTTGAAAGACTAACTATTTATATGATTTATAGTAATTGTAGGAGAAATATAATGTGTAACACGAATGAAAATTGCCTTTGCTGCACTCGAGAAACTTTAGATTATTTCAAACAATCTATATCTATATCTATCTATCTATATATTAATAGGCAAGCATGTTTCTTTAAAACCTTTTTTCTCAGCTCGTGTGCATCGCAGGGAAAATCTACGCATACTGTTGGAAAGATATTTTCCTGTAGATGTGCAGAATGCTTTTAAAAATTAAAATAGGCTAACAAATAAGAACAAAAAATTAATTTGAAAACTTCAAAAAATTAACATGGACCATATGGGTTGCCATGATGGTGACGAAATAACAACAAAATGTAAACAGAAAATCAAAACAAATGGAAGAAATTCCAATCACATGTTTTATTTACAGTGTGGGGAGAAAATATAGAAGTCTGTACATTACATATTTTTGGTCGAGTTTCGACCACTGGACGACCTCTCGTACTTATTTAATACGCAAGCAGGTTTTTTGTGACAATTACTCCTCCGAAACTACTGAACCGATTGACACGTTTTTGGTGTCATTGGAAAGAGCGTAGCGTGAAGTTGTGCAGGAAACTTTCTTTTTAGGGAAATAATTAGAGAGTGAGGCCCTGGGGCCCTTTAAAGTTTCGTGTTTCTCCATAAGATTAACATGGGAAACAAACATTGTTATGAAACTCCAGCTGTGATCAGAAAATAAAAGTGAGAAGAAGAACATATTTTTACTGTAAACAGTCAATGTTTACTAATTTAACAGTTGGCTACAAACATTTACTGACTTGGTTGAAATGAAATATTTACTAGAATTTGAATTTAGGTTGGTGTAAATATTACAATGGAAAAAGCGAGAGAGCCTGGATAAATTGATATACTAAAAAGGAAACTGATTTAGCACTGTGCTGCATTTCTTAGTAATCATTGAAAGAGCGCCGGTTTGCAAACTATGGATACATAGGAAAGACATAGAACACCACTAAGGAGAAGAAATAAAAATAATGATTTTTTAAAAATTTATAATCGTTATTATTGACAACCTTATGTGGCTATGAATATGAATAAGGCTATTTGTATAAAACACTAAAAACAAGATCAGCTTTTGAAAAATGATAAGATATTTACATGAAATGTTGATTATATCGATCTGTTAAGTACGTCTTGAGTATTTCCATAATCTTTGAGTCGAATTTTTCATAAAAAATTATGACTGTTATTTGTTTTAAATTAACGCCTGTAATACTTAGCAATTGCTCGAATTCGAGCAACAGGGACACTAAAAAAAATAAAATAAAATGCTACCGGAGACAAATCGCCATGTGTGGACGAGGCTTAAAATCGTTTAAAAATAACTTTTAAAGCGGACGCAGACTGTTGCATTGTTGTCTCGGCATGCACTACGTCTAAACTCCAGCGGTCACGTATCACTAAAGCTGCCATATCTCAGTTAATATTCATCCAATCTTAAAGGTTAAGGTGTCAATTGATTTGTAATTAAATTACCTTAAAAAGTCATCCTTGTAGATTTTTTGTACTCAACGGTTTTTGAGTAATTTAAGAAACAAAATTTTAAATGGCCGCCATTTTGTTTTATAAATTATAAAAATGTTCATATTTTTTTGTAGCTTTGTCTAGTTGTTATAAATGTTTTTGCAAAGTTTCAATTTCATATCTCTTACCATAAAAAAAATAATAAGTAAAAAAACAAAATGGCGGCTGTGTGAGTAACTAAGGACTTCCGGTCAATTTAAATATGATATTTGGATTTGTTTCTTACCCAGGAACAATACCTTAAAATATCCAACACGAATTCTGAAACACCCTGTATAACATAGAACAAAACTGGAGAAAATAATACATTAACAAGGAGAAACATATTAAATAACTGATAACACATTATCAGGGGCATTAACAGACATTATGGGAGAAAATATACAAAATAACAGAGAAATTAAT